GCCCGACCTGAGCATTCAAGTCTCCGGCTAGTACTACAATATCTGTCGAACGCACTTTCTGGAGAAGAACAGTTAACTGGTGGTAAAACTCATCCTTGATTGCATCCGGGCTGCAATCTGTCGGGGCATAGGCGGAGATGACGAAAAGACATCGTTTCTCACGCCGATTTCTTCTCACTTTGATGGAACTTTCTAATCTAACAGCACATAACCGACTGTTAATGGGGATCCAATCGACTAGTGCTGCCTCAGCTCTAGCGCTTAGTGCGACACCAACGCCTGCAAGACCAGACGAAGATGCCACAGGGTCCCCGGATAAGCGCACGTAAAACAAGCTTTTTGAAGTGACAGATGGAGAGCGAATTTGTAGTACTTCACCAGAGTCTTGAATACTGGTCTCGGATAGACAGCAGACATCGATATTAAGACTTTCCGAAGACATAGCCAGCCCTATCTGTTGACCAACCTGCATAAGTGTGCGAACGTTGAAGGCAGCCAGTTTGGATGGCGCACGTGGTTTCAGAAAAAATTCTTCAGTACTCATATTCGATGGTAACATACAATTTTCGACCGGACAGTGACTCGAGAACGTTTAGATACAGTCGGATTTCCACCAAAGACGAGCCGCTGTATAAGTATGAAAGAGGGTGAATAATGTGGAAAATAATAATAATAATAATAATAATAATAATAATAATAATAATAATAATGACAATAATAGTAATAATAATAGTATTAATAATGACAATAATAGTAATGATAATTATTTGAATCGATTGATTGTTTTTCGGAGCGAGAAAAGTAGTTGCCATAGACATAGAGTTCATCGTTTGTATGTGGGCTGTGATACTGCCCGGGTGCCCAAACCGAAGCAGGTGGTTATCTTAGGGGGCCACTCCCCGAGCCTTTGACCTAAAGGTCTAACCCACAAGGCAGTGGAGCATCGTAAGGAGATGCAATCCCATGGTAGCCGGTGACCAAAGATTGGTTTATACGCCATTTGTTCCCGCAGGATACTGGAGCCCATGTGCACCATTGATTTGGAATCCGGTTAAAGCGCCGGACATTCGCTTTTCGTCCTCTCATTTTCGTAAACAACACCCCCGCCACGAGAAGGCAATGAGTAGGACTTCCCTGGCAGAGGCTGTATACGCGCGGCCGTGTGAGAGTATTTCGAGAGGGAGAGCGGACTCACTCCACTCTCGGCCGTACCAGGGCATTCGGTGCGAAAGACCAACATAAGCCAGTCTTGTGTATCCTTCCATATTACGACACCATGTCATAGACTGACCACCTTTCCACTTTTTTCCAATCAGTCCCAGCGTCGTCAACTAGTGCACGACGTGGAACTCTCTGAGATGACATTCGTAAGATATGTTCAAGCCACCGAAGTCAATGTTTCACGATAGTGCCAGAACAGACGATGCCGGACCTCTGCATTACTAACAAGGTGTTGCCACTGGATGTCAGCAGTCCTTCGAAGACAACGATAATAAAACACAGAGTCGTCTACTATCTTCAACTCGGAGAAGCCCGGTTTCACAAGCATAAACCAAAACTCTTCTCACCAACGCGTAGTAGATCTGAACTTTTACAGACATACTAACGTCACGAAAACAAATCGGGTATGACTGTGCCGATTGTTAGTGCTAGCCAGAAACAGGTTATATTCTGCGCACAGTTGCAGTATACGGTCACCGTTATCTGACCTGAGATCAACAACTTCTCATTGGCCACCTAAACGGCTCTTCTGTGCCCGACTTGAGCACTCAAGTTTCCGGCTAGTACTACTATATCTGTCAAACGCACTTTCTGAAGAAGGACTGTCAACTGATCGTAAAGCTCATCCTTGATCTCATCCGGGCTGCAATCTGTCGGGGCATAGGCGGAGATGACGAAAAGACATTATTTTTCACACTGATTTCTCACTTTGATGGAACTTTCTAATCTAATAACACATAACCGACTGTTAATGGGGATCCAATCGATTAGTGCTGCCTCAGCTCTAACGCTCAGTGTGACGCCAACGCCAGCAAAACCAGGCGAAGATGTCACATGATCCCCGGATAAACGCACGTAAAACAAGCTTTTTGAAGCGACAGATGGAGAAAGAATTCGTGGTGCGTCAATACTGTTTTGAATACGGGTCTCGAATAGACGACATACATTGATGTTGAGACTTTCAAAAGACAGACAACCGTATCTGTTTTCCTATTTACATTATTATGCGAACGTTGACGAAGGGGAGTGTAAATGGTAAACGTGGTTTCAAAAAGGCTAGTTTAGTATTCGTAGTCGGTGGTGGCATTCAACTTTCAACCAGTCACTGAGTGGGATCGTTTAGGTAGGACGGGGTTTCTACCGTATGCGAGCTGCTGTATAGTTGAAAATGAAAGAATACACAAAATTAGGATAAAAGTAAGTAGATAAGTGGCGTGGTATAAAAGAAATAAAAACGAGTGTTATCAAATGACTATGAATATGATTTGGCTGAAGGAGATTTAAAACAAGAGTAATTGTTTCAGTAATAATTATCATTTGGTTTGTGTGTGGGTTGGAATACTGCCCGAAGGCCCAAACCGAAGCAGGTGGTTTTCTTAGGGGGCCAAAACCGGAGCCTTCGACCTAAAGGTCTGATCCACAAGGCAGTGGAGCAACGTCAGGAGATGCAGTCCCATGGTAGCCGGTGACCAACACGAGGTTCGTACGTCATTTGTTTTCTGAGGATCCTGGAGTCCATGTGCACCATTGGTTTGGAATCAGGCTTTACCAAATCCCCTAGTTGAATCCTCTGTATCCATCGACTCGGTTAAACCGCTGTGCATTTGTTTTCCTTGCCGATTTTGTAAATAAAACGCCCTTCGCAAGAAGGTAATGAGTAAGGCCCTCGTGGCAGTGGCTGTATACGCGTGGCCATGTGAGAGCATTTCGAGAGGGAGAGCTGACTCTCCCCACTTTCAGCCGTACCAGGCACTAGGTGGTTTAGAAACGCTATCTTAGCAATACTCTTTAGTGGAAACGTCACCGTCTCAAATCTATCGATTTTCTTGTTTAGTTCAGTAGAGTCTGTCGAATAATCGTATTTTCAACAATTGATATATCCATTCTTCAACTTTTAAATATTGCACTGTAACTGGTGTGGTTCACGACTGACATTTTAACATAGTAAAAGCAGTGTAATTCACAATATATTTACTTTATGTCTTTCTTTTTGTATTTGTCAGTCACAAAAGAGTAAAAAACGTCTTCAAAACACTGCACTGACTATTTCCATCCCTGTAACAAGGTTTTCGAAATTCTGTACGATTAAAGAGAATCAAAATTTCGTAGATTAAAATGACCGTACTATTGTTAAGTTATACCCTTCTGAGGATTCATAATGTTTTGCTTGAAACATATAGACACTGAACGCGATACCTTTTACAAGATACACATGTATATTCTGGAGCATACATGCTCTTCTTCGTGTTTTAGTGCTTCAGTTTATATCTTGTCTAAGGAAGTAACTCCAGATCAAGAAATTAAAACATATAGAAGGACACATATCATTTTATAGATTTATCTTAATGTTACTGTGTTTCTCACTTTCTAAAGCGTAAGTCCTACTACAACCATGATCTGTGGTTGTAGGTTAAGTTGTGTGGCTCAAATTTAGTTACTGGATAAAAGGATATGAACACTTCATTTGCTCGTAAATTTTAAACATGGTATTGTTTCATATCTTTCATTTATTCTAAATTGGGATTTTCATATTCCGTTTCCCAATTTGTCATATTTTCTGTGTAACTCTGTTATTATGGTGACTCTATCTCTGTTTGATAGTGTAAAAACTAATAGCATGGATCCATACCTATTTAGTTCAAGTATCTATTCATATTTATTGTCTGCTAACTTTCAGCTACTATAATCTTAGTCTTTATTATCTGATACTTGTCATCAATTTGTATTGTAAAAGATTACAACTTTTTAGTATCCATATCTTGTTTTTGTTTCTCAACAGTTGCTTTCGTTTTGTTAGTCTTATACTCGAAATGCATACAATGATCGTTGTGATTTTAAGCAAACAAAAATTACATCACACTTCGGGATTAACTCAAACTTATTAAAGCTTCAATCCATATACGGATTTTTTCTAATACGTCAGACTTATAGTACAATATACTTCTCCATGTCTATTTAGTATATTTGCAAATCTATGTTATACTTAAACTTAATTTATACTCAGTAGTTTAACATTAACTTATTTTAGCAAACTTCGAATGTAGTCCTAATCCTTTTGTAAATTCAACTACAAATTTGTAAATCATAGTGATTTTCTATCTGATAATGATAACATCCACTAGATATGTTGTGTAACCATTTTAGTATTTGTGATTGTTCACTTTCTGGTGTCCACATTAACTATAAAATGCTTTAAGTGTGAATAATCCTCAGTGAATGCATTGTTCTATGATTTCAAATGGTTTGTTTAAAAAAAGATATCGAAGCCTAAATATGTGTAGATATAAGTACTAATCAAGATCGTGTGCTGATTACACATAATTTCAGTACTAAATAAGTATTTTGTGTTTTACTGCAAATATTTATTCATATTTGCCCATATGGAAGCATTTTTATGTTTTTGTTATTCTCTTACGTTGAATAATACTCTTTTCATGTTATCAACCTATTATCCCTGTGTATCCACTTCATCTCTCAGACTACTATTCTCCTTCATACTCTGTTATAATAGTTACTCTTAAAATCTTATGACCACGATCACCATCAATATCAGTTATATTATTTATTTATTTAAACACATAAATATTAGTACAAGGAGGCACCAAATAGATATACGCCACATAAATCGCTCGATTTATGACAACTTATGAGGGTATTCTTAAAAATTACTAAGGCTAACTCATAAAGCCTCTCATATTTGTTTCGAATAGCTTAACTATTACTCAGTACTGTTAAACATTTCATTATGGCTCTGAAAAAGCGAAATCATACTTTTTTAGCGTTTGACATCTGGGTTTTCTGGCTGCTCTGCTCAGTCCATTGCTACTCGATGGATTGAAAGGAGTTTCGAACTAAATAATTTGACTTTAACGGATTATCAACGACGTGTTCAAGAAATTCGACGTTCAGTTCGTCAAGGTATCGATTCAGCAGCAACATGTACAGATGGTGAGTCTCTTTGGATCTATTGTACTAATATATTTATTTCTCAGCATTAATGACTGTTTCAGAAGTTTATTCACTTGTCATCTACTACTTTGTTTTAAAGCAAGTTTGTCACTGGAGACTAAAACAAAATCACTTCTTTTTTCTTTCAAATGGCATATTTCTTTGCGGAGTAGACACGTATATGGCTATTCCAAAATACTCAAAATTTAGTTTGGTATGCGAGAAAATACTTAAGGTTAGATGCTGTTAACTATATTTATAAATTGTTTATTAAAGCTGTCGTTGGCTTATGTTAAGTTTCTTAACATTTTTTACTCCATGATATCAGATTCTTAATCAAATTCTGAGTCACTCAGTAGCAACGTAGAACTTCGTACGTACGTACATCAGTTCGAGTTGCCACACCACATTAGCACAGAGATGCAGTTGTCGATTCAAATCCCGTAGTGGTAGAGGTGGTAGGAGTATAAGCAGTAATCGGAAAGATTAGGGTTTGAAGACGTTATTCAAGTAGTATAATCCAGTAAAATAAATTTGGAAAGAGAAAAAAGGGACATGACAAATTCAGAAAATTAGAATTTGGGAGAACACAAAGAGTGAATGCACCCACGCTATTGCAAACGACTTTGAGCCATGTCATTCAAGGTCTCTAACCATCGGCTCCTATCACCTCGCGGATCCCAACCAGATGGTCTACACCTACCAACATGGCTCAGTTCACTTGTCAGTGACAACATGGATTTGTGCAATGTTTTGGTCTGGCCGCCCCTAACTTTCTTCCAACCTTCTTCTTGTTGAGTCGGCTTTCTGAGAACTGCAACGGAGCCGAAGAGTCCTATCCAATCAGAGCATGATGGAGCTTTCTAGAATGTCAACGTGGCGTGCTACTACTGGTCAGTAGCATAATATGTCTTTTAGCGGATTGGCTAAAATATGATGTTGATTTAACAAATGTTAGCAGCTATAAATACCCGTGTTTTCTGTACAAAAACGAACCTTAGAGTAAATTATTTTCTCGTATACTTTGCGTCTTCTCTCTTGTGTTCAGGGCGCTAGCTTGAGGGTTACAGAATAGCTTAGGAAACGAATAGCGTTCATTTCGCAAGACTTATCAGTGGCGACGGGGATGGGATTAAATGAAGCTCCAGAGTCTCATCAGTATCCGTTACTCTTACCGGAAGATCTTTACGCTAAGCTGAACGGTGGCAGATATTTTGCGAAATTGGACTTATCAGACGCGTATCTACAAATCCCGGTATCTGATGAAAGCAAAGATCTCCTGACGATCAACACACACAAAGGTCTGTTCCGGTATAACCGACTACCTTTTGGGGTGAAGACAGCACCCTTTATTTTCCAGCAAATTATGGATACCATGTTACAAGGCATTCCAGGGGCAGCAGACAAAATGGACCTGCAGAAGAAATGGGACCAGGCACTAGAACGCGTAGCCGATTATGGTTTTCGCCTCCGAGCGGAAAAGTGTGACTTCTATGTGCAGCAAGCACGGTATCTTGGGTTCATAATAGATAAAGACGGAAGACGACCAGATCCAGAGAACATTGACGGTGTGAGAACAATGCATAGACCCAGGGACATTACTACCCTACGATCGTTCTTGGGATTGGTCAGCCACTACGGTACCTTCCTTCCCGATCTCCATCGTCTACGTGCCCCACTAAACCACCAAGTACAAAAGAATACAAGATGGAATCGGTCTGCGGACTGTCAAGCAGCTTTCTAAAAAATCAAGCAACTTCTAACTTCCAATCTCTTATTGACACATTATGACCCCTCGCTACCGATAGTCGTTGCTTCAAATGCTTCTAACTATGGTGTGCGTGCAGTAATCTCTCACATTTTTCCTAACGGGTTCGAAAAAGCTATCTCTCACGCTGCCAGATCTTTGACAACGACCGAAAGGAACTATAGTCAAATTGAGAAAGAAGCCCTATCAATTATCTTTGCAGTGGAAAAGTTCCACAGGACGATATATGGTCGACATTTTACCCTAATAACAGACCATAAGCCACTACTTGCAGTTTTTGGGTCAAAAAAAGGGATTCCTGTTCATACAGCTAACCGACTCCCTCGATGGGCAACCACACTTATGGGTTACGACTTCAAGACCAAGTATCAGTCTACTACCGCCTTCGGGCAAGCTGACGCATTGTCAAGATTAATAGGCTCCCAATCAGAAAACCCAGAGGAGACTCTTGTAGCAAATATAAAAGCCGAGGAAGAATTTCATCGCGTATTGGATGACGCAATCAATGGACTCCCAGTAACCTTTGAAACTATCAAGAAGATCACTGAAAGTGATAAGATACTGAGCACAGTTAAATGCTATCTCTCGACCAAATGCATCCGACAAATTTTCCTCATTTTTGTAAGAAATTTGATCAAAAGCATGTGAGTCATTAGGATAAATCATATCTGGTAAAATAACTAGAGAACCCCAATAAGTATATTCATCAGAAACTTTTGTCGTAGAATGGTGAGCTCCATTTAATGCAACTGTCTTCATTATGATACTTGATTCATTTTCTGTTTCTTTGTGGGCTGGTACTGCATAATTTCATGAGCATTTCATAAGACATCGTCTTTCTGTGAGCTGGACAATCCAGTGTTTGTACACGGTGTTTCGGGGACAATGGGATTTGAACCAACGACAGGGCATGTCTCTGAAATGGACATTTCTGGATCACTGGGCGCATCATGAATGACTGCTACTAATTCGTTCACATTACCGCTTCTCAAGGATTCACGGAGGGTTTCATCTACACGTTCATACGTTCTGCAGTCATTTTCCAGCCCTGTATGCAAATTAGAAATTAATTTATCAACTTCTGTCACATCTCCAAAACATGGGTGATTTAGCAGCCGTGTGCGTAAATTGTCTAAAACATTCAACTGGCTCTTTTTGAAACGCTGCTGTTGTCGCTCAAATAGCAACTGTAATTGATCGGAAGCGATAGCCATTTTCTGAATCAGTACGGTAATGAAAATGACTAATTAACAATCAATGTCGTTGAAGGACACCGGCGAGAATTTTGTATGCTGATTGCTCGAAATAATTACACTGAATTTTTTCCAATTACAGGCTGACCTTGACTCGTTAATTTGAAGATTGAAGGTTCAGATTTTTTTTCACCCCGTCGCTAATTGTTATAGTTCGTCGTTTGAATGCTTATTGTCTTGGCTCTTTTAATGCTACTTTTTGTATCTGGTCGTCGCTGATTATCTCGGAAACGCTTATCACTTATACTCGGAACGAGGGACCTCTGCAATTCCCACGACGCGAAAGTAAGAACACAAAGACTGGTATAAGTGAAGATTTATTAACTCCCAAAACACGACGACGACGACTCTAGTAGAAAATACACCCATTTATATATTGATTGTATACCCAGTTTGATTAATAATTAGGATGAAATCACATACATGAAAAAAATACTTAGAGTTATAACAAATCACAGACTGAGCATAGTTCATGTCAATGGAATACAAGAATGTCGTATATTATACAGAATAAAATATTATACGAGAAAAGAAAACTACACTGAGTAATCATCACATTGAATCAGAACGGAAGTAATCTTGAACAAAACTCATAATGAGTAAATCAATCGAATTTTGACTTCTTTCCATCATATCACTTCTACACCACAAAACATCGCACGCCGAGGCAGTCGGTGATTGGGCATACATAACATGTGTCCCAGACATCTCAACTGATGAAGCTTCACTACTGCACTGATTGATTTTCTATCCTTACCTAGTATCTGTATCCTAACAAATGCATTACTTACTCGGTAGTCCTAGGATATACGAGCAATGCTTCGAAGACAACTATGATCGAATACTAGTAACCTACGAATATCCTCTACTCTTACCTGCCATGTTTCATAGCCATAAAGTAGGACGGAACGAACTGCTGCGCAGTAAACTCGTCCTTTGGTTAATAGACGGATATCTCGCCTACGCCATAAATGACGCAAGTTGGCAAAAGGTAGTCGAGCCTTCTGTATCCTTGCTGAGACTTCGTCACACACCAGACTACAAAAGATGATGAGACTCCCAAGATAAGTGAAGCGGTCGACATGCTCAACTACTTCACTCCCTATCACTAGTTCGGGTGTCAATGCAACCCAATCCTGAAGCAACATTTTGCATTTCGAGGGAGAGAATCGCATTCTGAACATGCTTGCATTGTTGCTTAGAGTGGTCAGAAGATTGTGCATTTTGTCAGCGTCTTCACCAAATAAAATTATGTCATCGGCATATTCTAAGTCAAAAAGTGAATCTCCCGGTCGAAGTTCGACCCCTGGAAATTTAGATGAGGAGAGTTATCTCTAGAAGCACGTCAACGACAAAGTTAAACTCAACCAGTTGTGTTCGAGTAGAGAGCCTTTATGAGGTTAATGTACTCCTTTCGGTGACAAACACTGCCATAGAACCCCACGATCGACAGAGTCGAATGCTGCTTTAAGGTCGAGAAATACTACGATTGTGGGGCGTCTGAACGTGTGTCTGTGTTCTAGAACCTGACGTAGTGTGAATATCTGGTCTATACAACCACGTCCAGGTCGAAAACCAGCCTGTTTTTCTATAGTCTGCTCTTCGCGAGCTTTAGTTAGGCGTCGAAGTATTATTGAAGCTAATATTTTAGACACTATATTAGTCAAACTGATTTCTCTGTGATTGTCACAAGAGGACTGTTGTCCTTTCTTATAGACTGGCACAATCAGTGACTGAGACAAGTCAATCAAATTCTGAGGTTTACTTTATTCCTCTTACAGTGTTTGAAATTGTTAAGCTCCTTAGGACATTTTTCTTCGTGAGTAAGTGGGATCAGTGTTGGTTGTGATCATTTTTCATGGAAACCACAGAAGAATAGTTTTACTGTTTTTCGTCTTAACGTCCAGTGTATACTTTCATCTTTATTTTGAATCCTCTTAAGTGTTTTTAGCTCTGTGTTATTTTATATTTATGAATGTGAACTGATCTACCATGATCCTCATCAAAAAAATTATGTTGTAATGAAAAATTAGGTAGGTAAGTTTGACTAGAATATTTACTTAGTTTTGAAGTATTAGACTTACATCTCTGCTAATCACATGTATATTTTTGGTAAGTTTGCTGAATGCTAGTGAAATGTAATCCTTAAATTAAAGTGCTTCAAGGTACTGTATAATAATTGTTCATGAAATGTTGGATTCGGTAGCAGCGTCGTGTGAGTAATCCTAGCGTTCATCAGCTTGTGATTTGGCATATTACAGATCATGATTTAATGTATTACCGTCTCGAAACATTTGCGTCGATAACTCGTCCTAGTAATTTTTATACTACACACTGTTCACCATTACTAGAACTCGACCAAAAAAGCAGATAGCTAATCAGTTCACGACATGAAGCTATAGAATAAATATTATTCATGTTTTGGTTATCATCTATTGTTTCATATTTACTTCTCAGATGAGGTCGTAAAGACTGTACATCTCTGTAGCTTGGGGCGTTATTGATATGACTCATAACAAATGGATTATTGATCCATCCTTAGTTTTTTTCACGAACAGTACACATTTGAACTGAACAAAGATTATATTGTGTTCCTACTAGAACTGTATCTTTTAACTTACATTACCCTTGTTTTAATGTATGACTTCCTCAATATTTTAATGACGCTATCGTTTTCCTTCACATAACATGCGTCTATTTGTGTTTAAAAAAGTACGATTTTCGTTCTGTAAAAATAGTAGTTATTAATATCATTGAAGAGAAGTCTAAAAACAGGTTTATATATTTACGAATATCTGTAAATTATGACATGAATGTTGTGTTTTAAGCTTTTATTGGTGACGGTGGAGTGCAATAAAGTCGTAAATATTCCCCACAATCTCTGTCTTCATCAAAAGATCCAGTTCTAGTTGGAAAATATCGATTTTCTTATTTAAATCATTCTGGATATATTTTGGCGGAATCTGCGACTGCATTATCCGTTATCCGAAAAGTAGTTCTATAGAGTCAATTCAGCCATATATAATCTGACGTTAAGGCCTAAAAACGTGATAGGATCCGGTTATTACAAAAATTAGATTATGGTCTTCTAATGAGGTCTCTTATCTAGATTCCGATTCCTCTATCGTTTTTTCATGTTCATAGGTTATATTAGTTTGTTTTTACCTACCAATGTACAGATTTCATCACTTCGCTTTTGTTCTCGTTGATGATGTATTTTATTCTTGTATTAGAGAAGAGGATAAATTAGCTATTAATAATGTACTCTCAAGTTTTACATGGTGGTTTAGCCTCAATTATCTCATGAATTCAACTATTAAATTATTAATAATGTATTTGTATTTCAATTTTTCAGGGATTATTCATGCATTAAAGCAATTAATTCATAGTGGATGGCTTAACAGCCGATGGAATTTAATCAGTGTTGATTGTGATCACTTCGCATCGGAACCATGGGAAAAAAATTTTGCTTGTTGTTATCGTAATGCTCAGTGTATACTTTCATCTTTATTTCGGATTCCTGAGTTTAGAAAACGTCTTTTTGGATGTGAGTATATATATCCAATGAAAATTTCTGACAGAACGATTAAACAAATATTGTGCTAGGATTAATTTTATAAAATATGTGAACCACATGTTATATATATAACTTATCTTACTTTGGTTATAAAATAATCCTGAAAAGCTATTCGGTGAAATAACTTTAACTGTATAATTGCAAATTAATTTGGTAATTTGAAGTAAATACTTTTGTAACATGCATGAACAACTAAACATACTGGAATATATGTACAAGATAAGAATTAGTGTTTTGTTAACTGTTCGAGTGCACAAAAATAGGACTAAGGAAATATCATTATTCCTATTTTGAAGTATTAACATATTGGATTTCAAGTTTTTATTACCTGACAGTATGAACCACCATGATAATGCCAGTTACCAGGAGTTTTGTTGTTTGTTTGTGTTTGACTCTGTATTTCAAATGTATGTATGTTCTTCAATATCCGTCCACTGCTATCTGATATTCTCACAAAGCTGATGACGCTATTTACTTGTAGGTATATTGGGACCTGTAGCTTAGCTGTTTCAACTCTGAACTCATCAAATAAGTCATAGGTTTTAATCTCGCTCCATTTACAAAAAAAATTAGCACTAAGATAATTAAGTCCATGAATTTGGACTTTATTATTGACCGGTATCTAAAATGTTCCATACCTTCTTTTACTTATTTTATGGGCCTCAAAAGTGTAATGTTGTTAATTTTCTACTCTGTAGCCGTGTCTGCAATGCCATCCATATGGAAACTACAAGCTCTTTTGGAGTCTGCTTGGTCACTTGGTTTTGATCCACTTGGTGCATCCCAGATATCTTCAACGATCAATCCGAATAAAATTTCGTCTGGTGTCAATCCTACAGGTTCTGATGACATGATTTCTACAGATAGTCGTAATCTCGTTGGAATTGTAGACAGTACTGCATGTCTAGGTGCCACTGATATGGTTTCTCTTTTCGGATCGATAGGAATACGTTCGTCAATCATAGAATGTCGTGCCCCTTCCGGCCCTGGTGGAACTCACCCATAGTAAGGCTTCCATTTTCTTGAAATCATGATTGGTGATGCCACGTCATTATTGTAATTAAGTAATTATACTTCAAGTTTAATTGCAGTCAATAAAATTATTTTTGTTCACCTACTTAATGACGGTGATAACAGCTATAGGTGATTTATGGAAGTAAAATCTTTGATATTCTGTAACTATAATGAAAAGTGGAAATATGCATACTATAAGCTTTACATATTTCATTTATTGTCATCGAAGGACAGAAAAGATTGCATCATAAATTGATTTGAGACTTATTATCAAATCAGGTTACGCAATAATCAAGGGGTAAGGAAGGGATATAAGGATGAAAATAATTTACAGGTCAGATAATTGTCCAATTGACAGATATGAAGGAAAAACGACAAACATAAAGGTCATAATAATGAAAACTGGATAGTAATCAAAAAAACTTTTATAAGGTGATATCAATAACTGATTACAGTTAACAATAATTTAAAAAACCAGCAGTAATCAAATAACAATGAAAAAAAGCCAAAACATACCACTAAAGGGAATTAGGGTCAAGGAAGGATGAGAAGTTGGACGAATCTATAGACATATTTTCCATTAAAACTATGAATACGAATGTATAGCTTAAGTAAATTATTTCGTCGAAAAGAAAAAATTCCCCCACTGAATTATCTTTATTTTTATTCAATTACACAATGGGTTATTTTAATTGTTGTCATCGGTTTAAACAAAAGCAGTTTTCGGTCTTGTCTGTCTAGGTTCTCTGAAGGTTTAACAATATGAACCAACTCCTGTCATTGTTTTTGGAATATAATTAATGTAAACGAGAAATTAACATTTAATTACGAATCATTAAAAGTCGAAGGAGGAAGGAAAGTTAGCTGTCTTTATTTATCCACTGCTATTGTATACCGCAAAGTCCGTATATTGATTCATAAGTCTGGTTAAATGATATTTAAACGTAATTTTCGGGAGTTTAATTTAATGTCTTTACAGAATTGATGTACATCAGATGTAGGTAACTTCTTACTTTGTTAAGTCATTTAAGAAAATTATATTTTTCATTGAATATATTACAGTATTTATCACTATCTCTTGTATTCTGTTAGTGTTTCCACCGTTAATATGAAACATTGACACCGTACGAAAACACAACCTGACTCACTTTTGGTTTTCACTTTTTTCTACTATTACAGCCTCTTAACTCATATTTACTCTTATATTACCTCAGGTAATAGTCATGGAATATCGAATGAGGTAAATCTATATCTAAAATTTACTTTTATTTTTATTCATTCGTAGGTATAATTTTCATTTCCAAAAGTTCTTTTTATGTGTACAATATAAAGTACATCGTGTACTAAAATAACGATAGAAAACTGATTTGAAATTTTTACATGGATCATCATTTCTTAGGTTATGCTTTTAAATTTTGTTTGTAGATTCTCTTCATATCGAAGAATTTTAAGAATAATTCAAAAAATTATTTATAATTGTCAATCATGGAAAATACTTCGCTCCTCTTTACTCGGTGATATTATAAATCAAACAGAAATTACTTGACAACTCCCTAAGTGTTAAGCAACTGAAATTTTTGAGACAATTAACCAGCTAGAACAGCATAAAATATCTCAATTTTTTTTTATATGTTTTTCGAAATTTATAAAGATCATGGACACAAAGATTGAGTAATAGTTGTGTTGAGGGTTATTGTGTGGGTAAAAGCCAAGATTAAACAAAAATAAAGTAAAATAAATTGTCCTTCAGCGTTTAGAATAAGGTTGAAGATAAACACAACAGCAGATAGTTGTAACTTTGTCATCCAACTTATGTCAAGTAGTAGCACTATCTGCAAGATCACTTTATTACTAGATGTTATTAGCTGAAGATCTTCTTTATCTTTATAAGATTTTATGATACGAAAATTCCTCTTAATAAGAATCAAATAACTTTGGTTTGTTGCTTATCTGTAGCATTTTACCTTCAAGTATCTCTATCGGTCTTTCGTTTCCTGTATTTTGTTTTAGTTTTCCTTTTCAGCTTTTAGCGATTGAATATCTGCCTACAAAACATTGTGTTTATCTCATGTTGAAATTTTTTTACGTAGTCGCTCAAAATACATCAGCAGATAAAACTAGAATATATGTGAGCACATTGTGTTTCATCTCATTATTTTAAGTTTAAGACAATCCCTCGTATAGTATATGGAGAACTGTTTTACATTAGATCTTCCATAGCCTTCATTTATGGGTTGCTCGGTTAAAAGGTTTAAAAAACTAGGATGAACAACAAAAATATCGTTGTTGATGTCTGCTTTTTATTTACTCACTTGGTTGCTGTTCTGGTGGCTTAAATACTACTTATCATCGTCAGCCGATAGCGTGCGTCGATTTTATGATTCATTCGGATCCAGGATATCCTTCCTATAGTACCTTCATCGATGTTTTCTGAAATTAACCTTTAAACAGTTACTTAGATCTTATAAAAACATGGGGAACCATTGCTTTGCATCATTATCAAAATAATTACAACCGTCTGAAATCAAAAATAACTTTCTAGTCACTTATACAAGTAGTCACATAACAGCTTGATTGATTAGAATTTGATCAGGACTAGTATACCAGATTACCACCTGAAGCACTGAAGTCAGACATATGAGTAACTGCAAACATGCTCCACGTTCTGTTCAGCTAGATTTGGGAGAAATAACAAGTGCCACTGACAGACTGGAAAAAAGGATATTTCATCACGAAAGATCCGTGAAAATGTGAGAACTAAAGAGACATCATACTACTATGGGTACTAGGAAAGGTTTCCAACAGACTGCTGCTGAACCAGATGACAGATTCAGTAGACGCGCAACTTAGAAATCAACAGGACGGATTTCTTAAGTACTGGTTGTGAAAAACCGAATCGCAACACTACGGATCGTCATTAAACCATCGATTAAGTAGAACTCGTCACCACACATCAACTTACTTGACTGTGAGAAGGAACTTGACAGTGTGGAGAGGATAACCTTACGGAATATTCTTCGACATTATGTTGTATCTGAGTGGATCGTCAAAATCATCCGGAATTTGTACGACAGACTACACTGCAAAGTCACGCAAGGAGGACAACTAACAGACTCATTCCAGGTGGCCGACTGACTTGATTATCAGGACCTCGACATCTGAAGGAAGACACAATACAACGAACAGCTTGGATGCAACTAGACGATGTGGACTTTGCAGACAATCTAGCCCTTCTATCTTATACACAACAATACATGCAGGTCAAGACAACCATTATCAGTAGGCCTCAACACACACAAGGGAAAAACCAAGATTCTTAAATACAACACGCGAAATACTGAATCAATTTCACTTGATGGAGAAACTCTGGAAGAAGTGGGAACCTTCACGTAGCTGGACAGCATAATCGATGAACAAGAAGGATCTGATGCAAATATAAAGGCAAGGATTCGCAAAGCACGAACAGCATTCCTACACTTGAATAACATATGGAACTTAAAACAACTGTCAACCAATATCAAAGTTAGAATCTTCAATACGAATTTTAAGACAGTTCTACTGTACGGAGCCGAAACTTAGAGAACTCCCACAACTCTCATCAAAATGGTACAAGTATTTCTAAACCATTGTCTGCGTAAGATACCCAATGTCCGTTGGCCGGACACCATCAGCAACATACTTCTATGGGAGAGAACAAATCAGTAAAAGACGTTGGGAGTGGATAGGACATACATTTCAGAAATCGCCGAATTGCATCACAAGGCAAGCGCTAACTTGGAATCCTGAAGGTAAATGGGGAAGAGGAAGACCGAAGAATTGGAAGCAGATATGAAAAGGATGAATATCAACTGGAAATAACTGGAAAGGATTGCCCAGGACAGGTTTGGATGAATAGTGATGGTTGGCGGCCTATGCTCCTCTGTGAAGGGTAACAGGCTTAAGTAAAGCCATATCATGGAACTACTGTAACAACGGTTATATATCCCGCAATATTTTAGATGTTTGATTTAGATTTAAAAAAAACATGAAATACTGTAAATTGTACCATAGTTGACCAAGCACTGCATTAGTCATTCTTTCTAATTATGGTTACAAAGTGGAGAAAATTATTGTGGAAAATCGTCGAATCTCAGTCTGATAAGTTCTGAAACACTGTTATTGTTATTATTATGGACGGCCACCTTTGATCTGGATATGTTACCCTACTTGCGGCGTACGGTTTGTGAAACGAGCACTTAACAACTTCATCAAGCTGCTAACCACTACTCACTGAAACTCCATAAGTCGTACAAACTGTCTCAACAGTTGGAGAACTTGACTTCTAAACGGTTCTAGTTTTGGATAAGCTTGACGTGAACGACCTAGGAGCATTAAGTTCTTCCAGCTGCGACTGAGCCACTTAGTGAAAACGTTGTCGTGGTGTACTCTTCACAACAAATGAACCATAAATTCAACTGTTCGATACGAGCTTATATATGTATTTAAGATCTAGACTTTTTTCGAGGAAGATACTAGAGTAAATTGCCTGCTACCGTTTTCCAGAATACTGGTTAACGTTCCCGAAGCATTAGAACATAAGTATTACGGTCTATTTTTATTGATCTTATTCGTAGTATTCTTTAAGTTCTTCGTATAGTTGTTAAAAGATTTTTAAACGTTTGTACTCATTTCTTCTCCTTGAATTTCTGTTGAATGCTTTACTGTTTATTTTGTAAATTTCATCGAAATATGTTTCAGTTTCATAAACTTTTTCCTGTGTTTAAACTTGACTCATTCTATTTGCAATACGTGACTGAATCTGGCTCATGTGAATCAGTATGCTAGAATATTAATTTTTAACGTCCGGTAAAACCTAATATTTAAAATAATCCATTAAATTATATCATCACTCCGCTTTCACTTCAGGTATATTTAAATGCATAATGTAAATTATGTATGCACTCCTTATTTACCTATGGATATACATATCTGCTAAGCGCTGTATATTTGAAACTATCTCGAGTTCTTGAAAAAGAAGAATATATTTGAAAAATCTCAGCGAATGAATTTAAGTAAATCCAACGTTTCGCCTGGCAGTCTGGTCCAAGCTTTTTCAAGGAAAATATTTTATATTGCCAGGCGAAACGTTGGATTTACTTAAATTCATTCGCTGAGATTTTACAAATATATTCTTCTTTTTAATGTCTCAAATTACCTTGGCGCCCAAATATTGTGAAACTATTCGTTCAAATTTAGACGAAAGTTCTTATTTATCTCGAGTTCTGTTGTAATAATTGTTCACTCGGTATTCAGCAAAGCTCTGCAATAGTGTCTCCTAGGTTTTTGAAACTGGAAAGTGCATCAATACGCATAAAGTGACAGAGCAGTTGGAACTTTACTTTCTTGACCATAATGCTTATTTGTTGACGCATTTGTACCTACTGCTCTTGTTTTCATAACCCATCATTGTTTAGTTACTCTAACTTTATCTGTCATTCGTCACCTTGATTCGTAGAGTGATGGTTTCACGGCTAAAGCATCTAGCTTCCAGCTTGTGCTTATTTTGGCTTGGGCAAGCTTAAGGTAATTAACAAAACAGTAAGGTGTTGGTTTTTAGGTATATCCCTGGTGTAACTGCATGTACTCTTGATTAAATAGTATTTAGTTAGTGTTTTTAATGTTTAATATATCGTTTTTTCGTAACTTTTTATTACTCGAAGTCTGTCACACTCCCAATGCTATTACAACATGAAGGTCACAGTCGTATAGTTATTGGTGTCGAAGTAAGTATTTATTTCTTAATGTTTCATGGGATCTTTTTTTAATGTTGTACGCGATTATAACTTTGCTTAATGATTTATGTAGCATCGTTGATATATATATATATATATATATATATATATATATATATATATATATATATATATATATATATATATATATATATATGTATATAATCGTTCTTTGCGATAAAAATATCGGCGAAAAGCAATTTACTCTCAAATTTTAAGTATCTGACCTTAAATTTTCTTTTACTTCTTCCAACTAGTTTTTTTAATTCTCACAATAGTTAGTGCGTAAATGGATAACCCCATGTTTCACCAATAAAAACTTTTACGAGGTGTTATTAGAATATTCTGGGAGTTTTCATCCATAAGCCAAATGATCAAATTTTTAAGTCAGACCACAAGTTATCTCATCTATCTAATTAATTTTTGTTAAAATATTAATTTCCGCCTCTTTTCGTTTTATTTTTTTTGGGGGGGGAGGTGGGATCAGTAAACCTTTAAGTATTGATCGCTTCAATGTTCTTCTTTTTAGGTTGATGAAGATGACAAACCGTTAGCTCTCATTGTTCTAGATCCTGATGTATCGGCTGAAGCTATGCGTCAAGTTATCAAAGCAGCTGATTATTCTATATCTAGTCCGAGTATAGATTTATCTCATCTTTCTTTCGGATCATATAATTGGATGGATGTTTTAGGAAGTATGCGTGTGGATATGACTCAGTTAGTTCAACCTCAGTATCAACTGCTTCAAATTAATGGATTAATAGAAACGGATTTAGATCTCCAGGTATAAATGCATTTCTTTCTTACTAAGTGTTTTACTTGTATAATATTATACACTGCTTACGATTGCCTACTTAAATTGTCCAACTGACCAGAAACCGTATTCCTTGATTTTTGATCACATTAATGTTTTTACGATATATGAAGTCTTGTAAAACTAACGACAAAAATATGGACTTACTCGGGTCCCCCAAAAAACAACAGATAACGTTTGATTTACTGTCATTTTCGTTTCAAGCTTACATTCTTAATACGTTTTGCGGTCAGTTGTAGTTTTTGTATATATACGACTGGATTATAAAACATAATTTTTCTTTTTTAGGACGCCATGGTTCCGGAAAATGTTACAGTTGCGATCTCATAAAAATATCGTTTGGAAATGTAACGTTATTTTTTATCTAAACCCCATTCTTAACATTTTTTCTTGGATGTTAGTAATTTCCATTCATCTAATTTAATGTTTCTCACATTCTTTCTGCATTGTATTACTTTCATTCTTATATAGACGTTTTATGTTTCTTAGGTTTGTTTTTATACATGCTTTTAACTAATCTCACGACAGTTCATCACTATAGGTATGATTGTTTTTATTCCCAATGACCCCATTGCTTTCACTTGTATTTCACGTATTCGTTTTTCTGCCCGTTTCTTTATCTTTCTACTGTGTAACACTACTACTTAATGATCAGCTATGATAAATCTGCGTACTATCTTTATCTTCGCGCTTTCATGTTTCATCCTTCTTTAGGATGAAATAGCTTTGAAACTAATAAATACATTGTGTTGTATATGTACCCTTTATTTCTTTGGCAGTTGTCTATTTGTTGCAGACTAATATAAGTATGATAGGAACAGTATTTGTATGTGCTTTATTGTGGTTCTTGTGGATTACTACTGTTTATCGATTGCCTCTACACGCCGCCATTTTATTGAAATGACATCAGTTTGGTCTGCAACAGTCCATTATTTGGGACAAACTCGGTCCACCAAACTTACGAGAGATTACGAAAAGAATACTGTGACTGGCATTTTTAAAAAACCGAACTTCATCCTCGTCACCATTGGGCTTGCTATGAACCTGTCTTATCTGTTAAAATCGTAAGTGGGCTCATGATAAATACGTGATGGGCACTAATACAATTTAGTTTAATGCTAACAAGATCGAATTATACCAAGTGGTCCTTAGGTAAACTGACTTCAAAAACAGTCCTACTGGCTAGCAAATTCAGAGTTCTACTAGTAGAAATTATATGTTTGGAGCATCTGGAAAAACGATTAATGTTATTTCAAACATATGAGTGTGAGTTGTAGCTTTTCATTCATTTTCGAGTGAGAATTAAAAAAACGCAGGTTATACGAGTCAATAACATCACACTAATCTTATAACAGATATGCTCATTAATCCCAACTACTTAGAACTCATAACTTCCTCTATTGAAGGGGAATAAAGGCAATGCAGTGAATAGAATGTTCTTATCGACGATTTCATCCACTTGAGCCGTATAGTCGTATCTGTAGTTAGTTTATTCGCTAGCAATAGTAGTCTATATTAAAATACAATGGTATTGAATAATTTTCAAACAACTGAGGTGCCAATGTGTCATAAACTGTTTACAAAAGTCAGATATTGGATGGAAGTTGTATAATAATCCAACGGTTAATAAGAAGTGATAATGTGAAGATGATTATACGATGCGCACTGCTGAGGGGTCCCACACTGGGGTGAAACTGCCGTCCAGTGCTCCCAGGTTTTTGATGTGTGGGCGAGAATGATACTGATTGGTTGTCTGCTTAGTCAGATATGTAGGTAGTCTGAAAGGTGTCAGATGAATTATGCATCCCCCTATCCTTATTATTATTGAATCACTTATTGTTGAATTGTGTCAGGCTTTTGGTGTGGAAATACTTTACGTTGTGGTTAGGCTAATCACGTGTTCTCGATCTGAGTTGTGTTGACGTCCTGTAGAATAGACACTGGAAGGGAATCTAGTGTAGATAATCGTTTATGGTAAATTAACGTCCCATACTCGGAAACCCGACCGTTATAAAATTAGACGAAGTAAAACCGAGCATTATGACAATTGGTGACGAGGTGAAAAACAAAGAACCAAGGGTACAAACCACAAGTTGTGACAGTTTTCCATTGTGGTCTAGCTTCGATTGACTCATGAAATCAACTATTAAATTATCCGATTGTTACGTTTTAAGAACAGAATAATTAGAAGCCGTAATAATGGCTGATTACTAGTTGTGAAAAATAATTATTAAGGACTAGGACAAACGATAGATTATGGAAGATATAAAGTAAGATTGAAACCCTGGTCGGATGGCAAACGGAATACTTTTTCACACAAAGGTCAGGCTTCGATTAGTTAATGGTTACGGTCATTGCTATGCATGGGTTCTACACTTTTATTCTTTTGGACCGATCCTTCTGACCATGAGTTATTTTGAAGGCAGAATGACTAGCATCAACTAGATATTCCAGGATTGAGGTTCTGACTGATTTTTATAGTCCTTTAAATGATCAGGCAGGGTAGTATTCTGAGGTGCTATTTCGAAAGAAGTCGGGTTATGTGGTCAGTATAATCTACTCCACATCAGAAAGTAAACTGATAGATTCTCATTGAGTTGGACCGGCGCGGGAGTTTGTCTTTCACACAATTACGAGTCAAATGCCAACTCGAAAAGACGATATGAAGCCTAACCGAATGGAGTGGTTTTCCCAGATATCTCGAAAGTGATTTCGAGGATTTCTGCCACGGTTTATTCTTCAGACTAAATGTCCATAAGTAGGGTCTTCTTTGGTGTTATGTAGACACTTGTAGTGACTCACGTTTATCACGAGAACACGACTGGTTTAATAAAAACAATTATTATTATAACCAACTGTACCAGTGTTTGTTTTAATGTGCTTTTGTTCAACTGTGCTAATTATAGCCATTTTGTGCTTCCATTATCTTCCATTTTTGTTCCGCGGTTTTTGGTACTGTTCGCACGTACTCCTGTTTCTGCTTCCACTTGTAGCATTCCTTGGCACGATCTCGGTATTCGTTCAATACCACGAGATCGCCAACGAAATAAATCTGGTTACGATCGATCCTCGCCTTCTGATTTGTCTGGCACGTGTTTCTGGGTAGCGGTGTTCACAGTTAATCTCAACTCGACGCCACGCTACAATTGGTGATCCCAAAGTTTGGAACACGCCTCAACCTCAGGTCAAATCTTCCAAAGAAGCCAATTTGGTGAGTCTATTATTTATCTATCCACGTCTGTCGTATATTTTCATATTAATTTTTAATATATAATATGCACGACATGACGGATAGCGAGAAGAATACTATTAATGCTATAGACTCAGACGTACAGGCCATTCATTTTCGACCTGTATCATTTATCCCCCACGACCCTGAGGTCTGGTTTGCTGCGTTAGAGTCTCAGTTCGAGACTCGTCGCATCACTAGCCAAAGGCAAAAATACGCCTACGCTCTCGAGTCATTACCCGGGGACCACTTAGTAGCTGTTCGTGAGGTTGTCCTCAATTCTAACGTACCTAATGTTTATGATCGCCTCAAAGAGGCAATTCTCCGACATTTCCTCCCGTCGAGGGAGGAACGATTGAGGACACTGTTAGCACGTCACCCCCTGGGTGATGCTAAACCAAGCCACCACCTCACGCGCCTGCAATCTCTTGCAGGACCAACAGCAAGTGACTCAGAAATAGTTAAGGAATTGTGGCTAGAGTCACTACCAGCACATATCCAACCCACTGTGACGGCACTGCTCGAGGACTCACCGCTTGACCAGGTAGCCCTCATAGCAGATAAAATTTTAGCGAGGACTAGCAATAAAGATACCTATGTAGTTGCTTCACCGGCACGTCCTAAAGTAGACTTGGACGCCGGTCATTCCTCAGCTCATGGCGACAGGGACGGGTGTATCCACACACGTCTTAGTTTTCGAGACCGTTGTAACGTACCCCAACCCTACGTCCCCCGAGCTCGCTCAAGTTCTCGCAAACGCGTCACCACTCGCCCAAAAAGGGCATCTTCCAAGCCACGCCGAAAGGCGGCTACGGAAGCGAGCGATAGTTGGTGCTGGTTCCATAGGTCCTTCGGATCTGGCGCCCGCCGTTGTCGAGCACCATGCTCATACAAGGCGGGAAACGCCAGCGCCGGGGAGTAAAAGCGGCCGTACTCGCCGGCCCTTCTCCCCAGGTTGGTCGCCTATTCTATGTGCACGATTACCGCACGAACGCTAGGTTCCTAGTAGACACTGGGGCCCAAGTTTCTGTCGTACCACGAGGTAGCAGCAAGTCACAAGCCACAGTGCTTCGACTACGCGCTGCGAATGGCTCAGTCATTCCTACCTACGGTACACGACAACTCGCGGTCAACCTGGGCAACCGACGACGGTATCTGTGGACGTTCATCATTGCTGATGTTCCCACAGCCATACTAGGTATCGATTTTCTACAGCACTATGAATTGCTTGTCGATTCACGTAGGCTGCAGCTAATCGATACTTCGTCGAACAGCAAATTCATGGGCTGTAAAGCCCACATGAACGCGTACCGAATCCTCGGCACTTTTTACTCGCGTGACGATAAATTCCACGCTTTATTCGAGAAATTCCCCGTACTCACTAAACCACTCGAGGAGCTTCCATCGGTGACCAATCGTGTGGTACACCACATAGTCACCCGCGGACCGCCAGTCACGGCACGACCTCGCCGACTGGCACCGGACAAATTAGCTTTTGCTAAGCGTGAGTTTGACAATTTACTAGCTACTGGTATTATTCGTCCTTCTCACAGTCCATGGGCCTCTCCTCTACACATGGTGCGCAAAAAAGATGGGGTTAGTTGGAGACCATGCGGCGACTACCGAGCTCTAAACGTAGTTACGCGCTTTGATAGCTACCCCATCCCCCACATACACGACATTACGGCATCGCTCAAGGGCACGACTATCTTTTCTAAGATCGATCTGGTACGAGCATATCATCAGATCCCAGTCGCTCTTGAAGACATCGAAAAGACTGCTATCACGACTCCTTTCGGTTTGTTTGAGTTCCTACGAATGCCATTTGGATTACGGAATGCTGCTCAAACTTTTCAAAGGTTTATCGATAGCATTGTACGAGACCTCGATTTTGTTCACGTCTATATTGATGACCTGCTAATCGCATCATCAAACGTAGATGAACATTATCAACATCTTACGCTATTATTCCAACGCCTTTCGGATAATGGAATAGTAGTTAACCCAGACAAATGCGAGTTAGGTAAACGAGAAATCATATTTCTGGGTCATGTTATCAAGCAAGAGGGTATTTTACCTTGTGAGGACAAAGTGCAAGCAA